AGATAATTTAAACATTTGTCAAAGATCATTAAATGTGTAAAACTTAAAACACTTCAATAAATACAAATAAGAATTGCAAAATCCTCTACTATCTACTGCAATTTTTCAAATAAAATAGTCCTTAAGCATTGCTACTTGAAAATTATCACCATCAAACTATACTGATTCCCAGTGATGTTATAGTATTCCTGCTTTTTTAAAATAGAAGTTAGTATATACCCCTCACTAATTTCAAATAAAGCACATTCAACTTTACACATCAATCTTTTTTAGTTTTGAACATTTTAGAATCAAATCTTATTGGCTCAATTCCAACATTCACCAATAATTGAAAAAGAAACCATCATTCCAACTTATATGAAAGGAAAAAAATATTTAAAACATTAATCTTATATTATTACTCCAGAAGTAGCATGTGAGGCATTAAGTTCTTTTAAATTCAACTTTAGCGTTAAACTATATGTTAAATTCAGTTTTAGTATTTTAAAAACTATTTTCAATGTAACTTATATAATAGTATGAATACAGTTCATAATATTGATACATAGGTTCAAATACAATTTTCCCATTAAAAGATAAATTTCATAATTTTTGAGGCTTGCTTTATTCCTACTAGTAAATGCTACAAATGTAACACAGTAGAATGTGTTTTAGTCCCTCAATTCCACCAAATTTCAGTTAATAATAGTTTTTCTGGATTTAATTTAGTCATATTCAAAGTTTTATAATATCCTTGGTTGTTTTGCACTTCATGTTGATATATCTTGAATTTTTTTTTCCCATTTATGGGGGATCGGGATAGGGAATACATGTTAATCCATGGCTGATTCATGTCAATGATTTTTTTTTTTAATATGGCAGGTTAAATATCTCCAGAAAGAATCACGTTTGAGGTAGCATCATTAAAGACACTATAAAGCCATAAAATCTTTTAGGAATAATTTAAACTCTTTTTCAAAATGGTGATTTAGTATTGGTTAGAGATTCCAAATAGTCCAGGAGAAATACTATTATAAGTGGTTATATATGTGATATTAATTATTTATTTTCATTCAGATTTTAATTCTATTTTATAACATCAAAATAGTATCTTAGAAAAGCCTATTATTTTAGACCATAGAATGGACTTTTGATTACCAAACAGGAGCTGGCTTTTGGTACCTAACCAGAAATTACTATTTTATGACTGTGCTTTATTGTCCTCATTTTTTATGAGAAAAATATTTTCAGAAGTTTTAATTTGGGAGAAAAATCCTTGATTCTGAAGATTTAGAAATTAAATATAATACTCAAGCTACTCATCTGCAAATGTCTCCACAAGCTGAACACTTCTTTCTTGTTACTCAGTTTTTATTATTATAATTAATGTTTTTGTTAGTTTTTTGGTTATTACTCTCCAATTGAACTTTCTTAGGTCTTCATCTTAACAGTTTTATGTTTAAAAAATGTAATAATCAAAATAGGCTGTAAGCAGTATTTCCACATCAAGTTGAAATTTAATACTCACCACACAGCATCCATCAAAACCCATTTATTTCTAAAAGTCCCTGAAAAGTCTACTTACATAGTGCTGTCCCCGAGTTCTTCATAGAGATGAGCACCGGGAGGCGGCGGGGGTGGCGGGGGCATGGCCACCGGCGTCGGGGCAGGCGCTGCTGGTTTGGCCGCAGGCAGGGCGGACTGGATTCGAGCTGTCTTGGTGCACTCAGCTTGGCGTCTTTGGTAAAGTAAGGAGGTTTTGTAAGACTCATTTTAGAAATCATATACTTATCAATAGGCTACCTTTCAATAATAAAGTCCAGTTATCAGAGGAACTCAAAATTTTTTGTACAAATATTTGAACTTAACTAACTAATACAATTACAAAAGCATTCCCACAGAGTACCTTTACTTAAAACCCCTTCTCCTTAGTTCTTTAAAATGTTTAGTCTTGAAAAAATGGTAAATTCAGTAGAAAAATTGGCAAATTAAATTAAATGGTAATATTAAATGGAGAAAGAAAAGTATTTATAACATGTGATTGACAACTGGTGGTTGTTTAATGGATCTCTTTCATAATAAGGCATATAAAAGATACATGTGTGTGCCAAGTTGCTTCACTGGTGTCCGACTCTTTGCATTCCTGTGGACTGTAGCCTCCCTGGCTCCTCTGTCCATGGGATTCTCCAGGCAAGAAGACTGGAGTGGGTTGCTATGCTCTTCTCCACGGGATCTTCCTGACCAGGGAATGAACCCAGGTTTCTCCTCCTTCACTGGCTGGTGGGTTCTTTACCACTCGTTCCACTTGGGAGCCCATAGAAGATACACAATTGGCTTTTATTATTGGTCTTCCATCTATTTAAAGAAAAATTATTTTGTTTAAAAATGATTTTAAACCCATCTTAGATACTACAGGAACTGTGCAAAAGTGCACGTGTAGGAGGGAGATTTGGTTAGCTTTTATTTTCTTTGGATTCCAAGGAATGCCTGTGATTCTTGCATTGGAGCAAGGCTGCTCTTTTTGACTTTCCTGGATACTGGTAATTCTTGCCTCAAAACCAAAATCCCAAAAGGTGGCAGATATCAGGGCAAACTGTCTTTTTCACATTTCTTCCTCTTGTGTACATTTGTCTAAAACTAGTTCAATTCTATATACATAAACCACAAGGGCTTCCCTGGTGGCTCAGATGGTAAAGAATCTGCCTAAATGTGGGAGACCTGGGTTCGATCCCTGGGTTGGGAAGATCCCCTGGAGGAGAGCATGGCAACCAACTCGAGTATTCTTGCCTGGAGAATCCCCATGGACTGAGGAATTTGGCAGGCTACAGTCCACAGGGTCGCAGAGAGTAGGACACGACTGAGCAAATAAACACACACACACAAACCACAAAGGAAGTGCAACTAAAAACTAGTTCAAACACAAAATACAAATACAAAGTAGAGAAATAATACCTGGTTCTGGGCAGGCTGACTACTTTATTAGCATTATCTGGTTTTTTTTTTTTCTTTTCATATCACATAAAATCATATGCAACATATTAGTAATTATACTTACACTTTAAACCTGTTTGGGAAAGCAAATGAATAAGAAAAAAAGGGAAAGTTACATGAGAAACACTGCATTCATAATATTTTAACATCTGAATTCATCTAAACTATGAATAATTTATGGGTTAAACTCATAATAACACAGACTTAATGACATTGTAGGAGAATTAAGTCTTTAAATTCAGAAAGTGAAAATGGTAAGAACTTTATTATTACTGTCACCGACCTACAAGCTGTTAAAATATTTATTGCAGGAAAACAAAGAAATTAACAAGTTGGAATAGGAAACACTGGATTAAAACATGCATATGTGAGTTTCTCCTCTGATAGAGAAATGGAATATTAAAGATGCTCTGATCTTTATAACTGGCATTTTGGTTCACTGCGCTTGAAGACTATTAAAGAAATGGAATCAGGCAACAAGCCCCAGTTATACTCGTCCCCACTCTGGAGCTGAAGCTAGAATTGGAAGGTGCCAATCCTGGAGACTAAATTTATGACACTTTCACATTTGCCGCATAGTTTTACATCCACAGCAAATTTCAAAGACACATCTTAAAATGAAAGGATAACCATTCATTCCAATCTATTTATAAGCAGAAAATGAAGGTACAAAAGTTAGGTTTTAAAATAATACAATTTTACTTTATAACATGTTTACTTTTGTTAATACACAAAAAGAGAGTAACCAAAGTTTACTCTTAGATTGCCAAGCTGATTACTGATTTAAAAAACAATAAAATAATATATCTTTAAAATATTTAAATATCAAGGATTTTAATATTTTGTTGAAATTGAGACCATTTAGGATGCTTCAGTTTTGATCACTGCCTTGTATGCCAAGTAAAAGATTTCTCACTTATTTTAATGCTAGCAGGATATAGTAAATCTCCTTTCAGAAATAGTTGGATGAAAAAGTAACTGTGATACAGACATATTTAACATGAAAATTAATACTGGATTGATAGCTTAATAATCTAAAAATGTGTCCATTATTGTTTGTGTATAGGCTTTAGATTTGGCATATCAACTTATTTAAGCACACACTGAACTCTAATATGTCAACCTAAATGTTATATTTGCAACTTCTCATTCCTTTTGTGACAGAAAATACTCCTATACTATGTTCATTCTTCAACTTTCAAGTTGGAATTACCTTGCCTTATTTAATTCAATAGAAAATCCTCATTGCTGAGAGAACAAAGATAACAGTTTAACATTATGTAAGGACTTTTATAGTCCTTTCCCTGTAGATATTTTAAATGATGAGTAGCCATTCTACCATTATTTGTTATGACAAGTAATTTGTATGATTTATGATTCCTGTCTGTTAATTATTTTCATTTTGTGGCACCCTCAGGGCTATCTCTCTTCTTAACCTATTCCATAGTTTTGTTTTTATTTTTTAGCACTTATCATCAATAGGGATATACTTAAAAAGCACAACCCTCTATCACACAGTTCCCCATATCTAGTATCAAATAAAGAAAAATTGCTTACTAGACTATTTTAAATATAGATGTTTAGATTAGCTAAAATTTACTTGACTACTGTAAAGAACCTGAAGAAGAAAAATATAGATACTTTAAACAAATGTATTTGTCTATAAGGACCAGAAAAATGTAAGACTTGTACAACCAAAATATAATGCAAGATGTAACAATATAGACTCTATCAAGGCTACCCAAGAAAGAAGAAACCATATGGAAAATTATATATGGTGTGCTATGATTTTTAAATGATTTTTTCAAACTGTAATATCTGCATAGGGGCAAGTTTGACAATATGGATAAAAACCTAGCATGACAATGCATTGATATTTAGGTTACAGACCTTCCTTTGCAACCGTGGTATCTGTATATGACATTCCACTACCTTTCCTCCCAAAGTTCTTAACCTGATGAAGAGCATAAATGAAACTATAGGAGGTAACTAATATTCCTGGCAGATAAGAATATTTTAGCACAGGAACACCGAGAAATCTGTGAAAAATGTATTGAAAGTTTGTAGTTTTCCCTTACAGGAAGGTTATTTGCCACGAGAAAAATACCACACTCCCAGAATGTTTGCACCATGAATATTTTACAACTACAAAGCCATTTTACCAGAGGCAAGTTTTTGATATGCCTTCTTGAGGAGCTGTCCGTATTTCAGCAGGTATGAATACTTACTGTCTGTAGCTGACCAAAACCACCAAGATGGCAGGAATACAGCAGACAATGATGATGAAGGCCAGAGCCAGCAGGGCCCCTTCGGTATAGCCGAGACTTTCTCCTCGCTTTTTAATGCTGGTCACTGCCTCCGGAGTCCGGATCTCCAGAATGCGTCCTCCTTCCCCATAATATGGCTGAAAGTCTTTATTGATATCAAGCAGTTTGCCATCTAAAAATCTTTATTGTTAGATAAACAGTAAAATCAATATTAACAGAGAAGGCCTTTTAGTAAACAAAATATTTTTGGTAATCTCTTTTAATATTTTGTTTAATTATAACATAAGCTGAGTCAGAAATCCGATTATGAATAAGGAAAGCGAATATAAAAAGCAAGAGCAATAAAGAAGAGTAACAGTTCTATGTACCCATATCAAACATACTAATAACAATGATCCTTACTATGCTTATAGACTTGGCAAAAGTAAATAACGATGTTATTGAAATTTATATCACTATGTTGAGATTATTTATAGTAAATTATTCAGGTGGGATAAAATATAATATTCTAAATTATATGGTACAATTAAAAAATATGTTCCTGCATTTTATATCTTTTGGTTCTCAAAATAATTCTGTAAAATCGAACCTTAATACTGATTTACTGCAGACCACAAAGTTATAAAGTTACGAAAACAAATCTGAGATATCAACCCAAGTCTTCATAGTATTTAATTAGGTTTCACCAGACCACCCTAAATATCGACACTCTCAAATCTCAAATAAAAATATTTTTATGGGAAAGAATGAACAAATTAAAAGGTTTTCTTCTTCCTAGAAACAGAATACTAAATAAATGATGCAGGCAGTAAATCAGTACATTCAGAATGATAAGAATTGGTGGTTGATTATCTAGTGCATCTGGCAAAGTCACTTCAGTCATGTCTGATTATGGGACCCAGGCTCTTCCACTTGTGGGATTCTCCAGGCCAGAACACTGGAGTGGGTTGCCATGCCCTCCTCCAGGGGATCTTCCTGACAGGGATCAAACCCTCATCTCTATGTCTCCTGCACTGGCAGGCAGGTTCTTTACCCACCAGCGCCACCTGGGAAGCCCAATTTATCTAGTAGTTCTTGCAAACCCTTTCACTAAATAATGCATTTCCAACTATGAGTATTGTGTTGGGGAGAAGAATTAAGGAATAATTGTTACTTAATTTAATTAGACTGAACAGTTTTGTCACATATTTTATGCTGTAATTAGCAGGCATTTTTTTTTTAAGATTCCTCAGGAACATTTAAACAGTCTTTTATAAATCCTATAATATTGATATAACAATTATGTTCTTAAAACCACAAAGCCACAAATGTCTTAGGCATTTGTATTTTGATTTCTTAAGACTTCTATCTATAAAAAATGAAATGTCCTACTGTAGAAAATTGAAAGCAAAATAGTTCAAAAAGCAAAATTACTCAAATGCCCGTAATGCAAAGATAACAGCTGCTAATATTTTGGTGCACTAATCTCTTTTTTTTTGCTATTAATAAACATTTTTATATATTTGTAATTACACAGCACATACAAAGTGAAAATATAATTTTAGAAACATGTTTTAATATAAAATACTGATGTGAAAAATACAAAGAAATGTGAAAGAAAGGTTGAAATGGCTCAAAATTTCACCATCAAATAGTAACTGAAGATTTCTATCCCTATGCATTTTACAGGCTATTTCTTCCCTTTTAATCCTTTTATTTTAATTTTCCAAGTGATCGTGCTGACTTTAAATCTAGTTCAACATGCTGTTCATAGCTTCTATACAGAAAAAAAAATAGATGCCTAATATCAGATATGAATTCCTTGGATAGTTTATTAATCTTCTAATTTAGGAAACCTAATGGCTCAAATAACTCATTTCAGTTTTAAAGCTACGCCGGTTTTTATTCAAGTTATCATACTATAATACAAGGCAGTTAGGATGCTTTTTTATTTTTATTTTTTACAAATATGCTTTTGTAGATGAAAAATATACTTTTTATATCAATTTTTCCTAGATCATTTTCAGATATGTTTAGGATTACTATAAAGGTTTTTCCATCGTTCCAAGTACAAGATTGGAATGGAATTTTACAACACTTTGTTTGAATGTTTATCAGATAAAATAAGAAATTCCAAATGAAATACAGATTAAGAATTACATCACAAGTACTATATCATTAGAAGCTGGGAAGGATCAGAAGTAGACAAAGAGCATAAATTGCAGGGAAAAATTATTCCTATCATGCAGACAACAGGTCACTATTCTATTGGATTTTTACTAGATTCTCATTGATATCCAAACCACATAAAGGAAGATTTATTAGTCTTTTTACACTACAATAATTCCATTATTTAGATATTTATTTTGGTTTATTTCTCAATTTAGGAAATCATAAGTATTTGTTTACTAGAAGAGAGCATCACATTTGAATCCATAACTGATTTAGAATAATTTTTTGCTCTGTATATGAGAAACAACTTGTCTAGGCAAAAATCCTTGAGGCATAACATTCTCCTCAAAATAGTATGAATTTGATTCCATTGACTTTTGGCATTTATCATACAGATGGAATTTAAGGCATCAATTTTTGTTTCTTTATGATTAAGTCATTTTTATTTTTGTTTCAATAGTTCTAAAACATACTCAGTTGCTTTTAAAGGACATGTGACAACATTTTCATTGATTCTGCCTGTGATGTAATGAAATCTTTTAACTGTATTTTCAGGTTTTGTTTCTGTGATAACTACTACAATTTTTACCTCAGTTCAGTTCAGTTCAGTCGCTCAGTTGTGTCCAACACTTTGTGACCCCAATGACCGTAGCACGCCAGGTTTCCCAGTCCATCGCCAACTCCCGGAGTTTGTTCAAATTCATGTACATCGAGTCGGTGATGCCATCCAGCCATCTCATCCCCTATCATCCCCTTCTCCTCCTGCCTTCAATCTTTCCCAGCGTCAGGTTTTTTCTAATGAGTCAATACTTTGCATCAGGTGCACAAAGTATTGAAGTTTCAGTTTCAGCATCAGTCCTTCCAATGGATATTCAGGACTGATTTCCTCTAGGGATTTTTTTCTTTCCCTTAATATGCTGTAAGCTTCTTATGTTTATACTTCATTTTGCCAATTTATTTTTCAGATGCCTTTTCATTACAGGCAAGTCCAAGTTTGGATAGTCAATGGATTCTAGGAGATTTTCTCCCTAAAGATGGAAAATGTAGCCCAAAGAAACGTCAGGGTTTGGTTTTTGTTTTTGTTTTTCCATATTTTTTCTGATTTCAGGACTAAGAGCTCTATTGTCTCCTAACATCCATGTCAATCCTTAAAGATGCAATCTAACTGACCTCTGGAATGTGCACTAATCCACAGGTAGTCAATGTGAGCAGAGGAAAGGCATACTCCAAAGGGCCTGAGGGTTCCAGCCTGCTACCACGTGGAAGAAGGTCAACCACACTATTCTTCTGTGGAACATTTTTTACCAGAAAGAGGTAAAGATTCAGGGCATGTAAAACACATATACCATTTGTCTTATATGGTCTTTTTCTGTTGAAAATATTAAACTGTTTTCCAATGGTTTCTATAACAGAATTATTTCCAGAGATATAGTCTATCTCTAAGTCATCAGAATGGTATTTCTTTTATTTTGTTTTTCAGCATTTATTACTGATCCCGGTTTTCTCCTTGCTTACTTCTTTTAGAAAGGAAATAAAGCTGTCAGATTCAAGATCAATAAAGACATGATATTTGCTCTTTATTCTCATCCATAGTCTACTTAGCTGCTTGTTAAAATCCTTTTTAAATCTAAGGGTGAAGTGAACAGATCCTTTACTAGCATTTCAGTTCAGTTCAGTTCAGTTCAGTTGTTCAGTCATGGCTGATTCTTTGTGATCCCATGGACTGCAGCATGCCAGGCTTCCCTGTCCATCACCAACTCCCGGAGCTTGCTCAAACTCACGTCCATCAAGTTGGTGATGCCATCCAACAATCTCATCCCCTATCATCCCCTTCTTTTCCTGCCTTCAATCTTTTCCAGCATCAGGGTTTTTTCCCAATGAGTCAGTATTTTGCATCAGGTGGCCAGAGTATTGGAGTTTCAGCTTCAGCATCAGTCTTTCGAATGAACACTCAGGACTGATCTCCTTTAGGATGGACTGACTGGATCTTGCAGTCCAGGGGACTCTCAAGAGTCTTCTCCAACACCACAGTTCAAAAGCATTGATTCTTTGGCACTCAACTTTCTTTATAGTCCAACTCTCATGTCCATATATGATTACTGCAAAAACCATAGCTTTGACTAGATGGACTTTTGTTGGCAAAGTAATGTCTCTGCTTTTTAATATGCTGTCTAGGTTGGTCATAGCTTTCCTTCCNTCTTTTAATTTCATGGCTGCAATCACCATCTGCAGTGATTTTGGAGCCCCCAAAAATAAAGTCTGTCACTATTTCCACTGTTTCCCTAGCTATTTGCCATGAAGTGCTGGGACCGGATGCCATGATCTTAGTTTTCTGAATGTTGAGTTTTAAGCCAACTTTTTCACTCTCCTCTTTCACTTTCATCAAGAAGCTCTTTAGTTCTTCACCTTCTGCTGTAAGGGTGGTGTCATCTGCATATCTGAATTTATTGATATTTCTCCCAGCAATCTTGATTCCAGGTTGTGTTTCATCCAACCTGACATTTTGCATTATATAGTCTGCATATATGTTAAATAAGCATGGTGATAATATACAACCTTTAAGTAATCCTTTCCCTATTTGGAATCAGTCTGTTGTTCCACACCCAGTTCTAACTATTGCTTCTTGACCTGCATACATATTTCTCAGGAGGCAGGTAGGGTATTTCCATCTCTTTAAGAATTTTCCACAGTTTGTTGTGATCCACACACTCAAAGGCTTTGACATAGTAAAGAAGTAGATGTTTTTTTGGAACTCTCTTGCTTTTCAAAGATCCAATGGATATTGGCAATTTGATCTCTGGTTCCTCTGCCTTTTCTCAATCCAGCTTGAATATCTGGAAGTTCACAGTTCATGTACTCTTGAAGCCTGGCTCGGAGAATTTTGAGCATTACTTTGCTAGCATGTGAGATTAGTGTAATTGCCCTAGCATTTAGCCAACGTTAATCCATTATTGCTCTGTTTTCCCTAGATGAGGTAAATTCCTAACCCAATTTCATATCTTCTGATTCACTCAACTGATGAAGCACAT